GCAACATTTATAGATTCAAACAGCAGATGGTTTAATGATGGATGATCTCTGTTGTTATGTCACTATTGTTAATAACTAGACAACAACATGTATTGTGAATAAAATCTAAAACACCTTTGAGACTGACTGACTGACTGACTGACTGTTTTTTTGTCAGCATGTGCGTTTCTGTTTGTTGTCAGTGAGCCTCTGTAGCACCCTATGTATTTACAAAAGAAACACATCACATGAGAGGTGTTGATGGTGGTCAGTGACTTTAGGACCAGTTTGCATCGACTGTTGAGCCAGGCACTGTACACCAAGCCAGTATCAGAATATACAATCATTTTTGTTGTGTTCAGGTTATAGTTTTGGTGAGACTTTGGTGGTTTTGGTTCACCTTCACCACTTTTATAGCCTTGTTTTGGCTGTGGGAAGCAACTGTTTTCAAACAAAAAGCCCTGATAAACATGCTGTATGCAACTGGCTCAGCACCGAACAGCAGAAAGACTTCGACAACCAGCTAGTATACCTAGCAAATATAGCATTTAGCAGCTCAAAGAAATACTGCTCCCCCCAAATGTTCATTTGTATGTCAATTACTCTCAACCGTGTTATGTTGAATGTGGGGAGAAAGCTTTGTTTTTCTTGCATGCCTCAATGGTGAACAAGGAATCCAAAAAAGGCACGTTCTTGATAAATTGAAGTCATGAGGGGGCTGTGTTTAACAACAGCAAAACTATGTCAAAACATCCTTTACAAACTCTCACACAACTCGTGCAGTATAACCCAAGTTTCATTTAGTCAGTCGTATGCTTAGTACTTCCCAAACACATGCAGTTTTGCTAAAACCTCACTTTTGAAAACACTATGTGACTGTTTACACAAGTGTTTAAATATCATGGTTTTGATGAAAATGCACGTGTTTGGGAAGTGCTGGATAAGCGAGACTTGAATTATATAGCACAAATTGTGTAAGAGTAAACAGATGTTCTAATTTTGCCATTAACTCGGCCCCTTTACTTCAGTTCATCAACAATGTTCTCCATTTTTGGATTCTTCGTTCACTAGAATGAGTAACACATAGATTACATCCCAAATTCAACACAACACAGTGAGCAACTGACATACAAATGATCATTTATGGGTGAAGTATTCCTTCAAGAGATAGATATTTCTCTTAGGAGCAGGTGGAGACCAAAACCGAGCTCCAAGGAGAGTTAATAATGGACTTATATTTGCCCGGTGGACACAAAATCCAAAGGACTGATAATGTTGCTCTGTATCTGCTGGGTGTATAAATAGGCTAACTTGTAAACTGTTAGCTTACAAAAAGTTTAATAAATCAAAGTGAGTAGCTATTTGCCTATTACAGTCTTGTGTATTTTATATTGTTTCAGGATTTTATCCAATCAAAACTTGAGACTTGAATGTCTTTGCCTTCGGATCCTAAGCCAAGACAAGTCTTTAGGAAAACTGTCTGCTATATTAACTTATATTAGCCAGCTTATATATAGTCTGTCTTTTAACGGCTGACATTCAGTATATGCTAAAGTTCGTATGTTGCCAAGTCTATGGTGATTTATTTCCTGTGAGTCTTTATATCCAATAACAAATGGCTCTCTGTGGAGTTTTTATGCAGCTTATATTGACTTGAGAACATACAGTACATTTTGGCATTGATTGCTCCAGAGGGAACAAATTCATGGGAGCGTTAGTGCCATTTTCTACCCGTTAAGCTACAGAACACCACAAAAGACGCTCTTTGCATGGACTAAGAGCCACAAGATAAACAAATTCCACTTTGAACTTTCTCAAAACACGATGAACAAGTCATAAGCTGTTGCACAATTTCCCAAAAAAGACGATCTTTTAGATTAAACAGCCTGCATGGGTCATTGAATTCATTAAATAAATATATGCAGTTTAACCATTTGAATACACAACATCAACAAAGGACTTTCCAATGACTTAAATATAAATAGACAACAGCACATGTTGGTCAAGTTCAGCCCCACAGATTAGGAGCCCCATGACAAAGATAATAATAACCTCTGGAGTGTCTGACACTTAACACTCGGGCTGACTCAAACGCATATATTCACAGGTCTCTTCAGTGTGACAGAGAAGCACAGCTGGCTGCTTCCAGCGTGGATAAAACATTGGCCACCACATGCCCAGCACCTGTCCAGCTCCTCCCCAAACTCTCAACCACTTTGATCACCGCACACGCCGGGGTCACTGACCACAGGCGAGCTTATCTGCTCATTCTCCACTGTGATGAACCCAGCATGAAAATCCATGTAGGGTGTTAGTGTTTAGTTAGATAGGGGCCAAAGTCAAAAACATACCCTGCTCACCCAGATCACCTTGAATACACAGACACACGTTCTCTGGACTGTCTATCTGTGTACTTTTTTTAAGAAAATTTAACTATAAACTTTGTCCAGTGCCTCACAGTTAGAAAGTTTGTCACCAACCACAGTTTTCCATGATGGCCACGCAACACCTGCATTTAACAAACAGGGGGTTAAGTCCCATATTTCACACCATCTCAACAAATGTTTCACAAGAATATTCACACATACACAGTTTTCCAAGTCAGTCAAAGATAGAAACTACCATCCTGCAACACACTTGTAAACTTTTCCACTCGTCAGCATGTTGACAAGGCACATGATGCATCCTAAACACTCCCACTCAAAAGTCTCAGACATATACAAAATAATAAATGTCTAAGCTTTACATTTTATTATTATTATTATTATTATTATTGCGAAAACATAGAAAAAAAGCAGAATATTTTACGGTAGAGTAACAGTCTAGCACAGACTTAAAAGGGCTAGTCTTCTTTAATAATATATAACAGGTGCAAGCTGTACTAAATACAAATATAAAGGCCTGCAACGAACAGTCACTCATTATTTATTTATCTTCTCTATTAATTTTCCTGATTTATGAGTGGTGTAGAGTGTTTGCGGACAGCTTTAGGGTAAGAGAAAATGTAAAAGCAAAACGCATCGGAGGTGCAGCGCGAAAACAAGAAGATCAAATCTGTAAATCTGCATATTTATCATATTCTCTTATTGTTTATTTATTATCATTTTTGTTAGCTATGATGTTTATTTTTGTTTATTTCTCTTTAGCTCTTACGATACGATATGATACAATAGGATAGGATACAATGCAATGTGATACAATGCAATATGATACGATAAGATACTAACGATACGATATGATATGATATGATGATACGATACGATACAATACAATATGCTACAATAGGATAGGATACGATGCAGTGTGATACAATTTAATATGATACGATAAGATACTAACGATACAATATGATATGATATGATGATACGATACGATGCGATTCGATGCGATACGATACGATATGATATGATATGATACGATATACTTTATTGTCCCCATAGGGAGATTTGTCTTGGACCCAGGAGCTGAATAAATTGCTGCCTTAAATAAAAAATAAAATAACAAATAAAAAAACATACAACACATAACAGTATTGCACATCAGCCACTCATGTATTGCACATAACACCAGCGCACAATTGTTCTTATTATTAATACATACAATAAACATACTATTACTACTACTACTACTACTACTATTAATAATAACAATAATAATATTCCTAAAACTAACATCTTCAAATTTAGTTTTTGTCTAACCAAGGGCACAAAACCCAAACACGTAAGACAATACAAGACAAGACAGCTAATTAATTTTCTGTCTATTTTCCATTAATAAACTGACTGTTTCACCTCCAAAAAAAGAAATATACCATTCCTGTCAATTTTTTTTTTTTAAAGTAGATGGTACTCAACAAGAGAAACTATTGACAACAGGAGACAGCAAATTATAAAGACAAAGAAAATCATACAACATTTCTTATGAAAAAAAAAAACAGAAGTCTCTCACATACTCACGAGTAAGAACCTTAATATTTCTTGTAAGCCATCATTTTGAGGCACACAGCAATAACACAGTTTCACATGGAGCAGAGTCAGTCAACAGAGAGTGATAATGTGCAGCATTAACTTCCCACACAGAGCGCTCTTCCTCCACATGGGTATATTTAGCCTACAATAACAAAGGCGAAGTGCTTTAAAAGGCTGCTGCTGGTTGTTAAAGCTACTGTGAGTCTGTATAACACTCATGTGCTGACGCAGACTGTGTGCTGGCTTACTACTTAGAACAAACCGGCCTATTAGTGTGGGTCGGATATGGTTATGGTGGTAGGAGGAAAAGGAAATTGTCTTTGCGATTACTCCATGCCATGTGGCTTGGACACCAGCAGCAGATTAAGGTGGAAGCTGAGTAAACTGAAGGAAAGGGGATTTTTTAAGTAGATACAAGATGAGAAATACATATCGATAAGTTTGATCCTGCGCCCACAACCCACAGCTGCTTGAAAAAAATCCCCTTCACACATCAAGTGAAAGTAGGAAACATTTGCGCAACACTTTGACCAAACAAAAGTAATATCTGCTTGTGATCACACACTGGCCACGTAGACTAAACCCATTCATGCAGATGTTTGTACCTGTTGCAATAACCTGAACCTAAAGGCACATATTGAAGAGAGATTCGAAATGCAGCAGACAATAGATGGACAATCTGTCACTGACTCCTTCAGGCACATGGTCCTGACATCTGGACTTGGCGCTCACTGCAGGAGCGCTTAACATGCTATTCTTTCTTCATTGATCACTCCCCCCCATATAGGAAACAAAGCCATATGCCCCAGTATTGTGTGCCATGTGATCATAAAGGCTACAAATATTCATATATCATGTTTTCATTCCTCCATAACTGGTAAAACATCTCCATGTGATTGAAGAAAAATCACACTCTATCCAATGTTTTGCATCACAAGCCTATTTTTTTTTTCAATAAATCAGTTAAATGCAAACATCATGTCAAACACATCGACATCATCTCTGCAGGCAAAGTGTTTTTCTGTTTAAAGAATCAGATTTGTTCGCTCTTACCAAAGGTTCTTGTCACGAAGCTTCCAAGTTAATTCCTCTGATGAGTGGGGATAAAATGTGATGGGTTACAATCTCTTTATCCTGACGTGTACTCTGTCTTTATCTTTATCTCACTGAATGTAGCAGTGTCTATATTCGTGGGGCTTTTACGCACAGCAGGACCGTCGCTCTTTATGTCCGCAGCTACAAAACGCGCTTCAAGAAATGGTCGGCATTGTAAAAACCATCCGAAGCTCTACTGTGGGGGTCGCGTTGGGTCCGCCTCCTTTGCCAGCAACCCCCTCCTATAGCTGCGCTGATCGCTGTAAGCTTCACCTCTTGGTCTTGGAGGTAAGTGAGATACAAGGAAAACTGAGACTGTGGCAGTCACGCGGGTTTCTTGCCTTTGGCGTTAAGGAATTGCGCATAAGTGGCACTTGGCGACGCGTTTACGCACAGCTTCGCGAGATATGGTGCGTAAATCAAAAAGGCGTGGGTCACTCTTGTGTATAAGTGTTAAAACACATATATCAAAATCCAGTTTATTACACCTACTCTCTCTCTCTGCCCCATTCACGCACGCACCTCATTATATCAGCTACAGTATAGGCAGCACCCTGCAGTGATTGTGAGGTATATTTCCCTTTCTTGGACTCTACTATCCCCCCCCCCCCCTCTCTCTCTCTCTCTCTCCGTTTGTTGTATCAGATCCAGCAGCTCTCAGCACGGTGCAGCCTGAGATCTGGCACCTGTTAAGAGTGTGGAATGTGGAGAGCTTCCTCCTGCTCACTCAGGAGAGAACAAAAGCTGGGCACTTACTACAGAGGTGAGGAGGTCATCTTTGTCCTTGACAGACAAATACCATTCATTCACTAATTGATTTTAATTGCATAGTTAGTTGCACAACGAGCTGAGCCAAAGTCCACATCTGTGTATTGAGAAATAAAAAGATGGTTATGGCATGGTGCAGATGTGAGATCACCAAACTGGGGGTGTTTACAACTGAAATGTCACCAGCAAATAACTGTACTCATGTAGAGATAAAAAAAAGTTTAACGTTAAACACAACATAAAGTACTGTCAGACTATTTCAGTGTGATATTTAAACTCAAACACACACTGATCATAATATGGACACACCCACAGTGTTTTATAATGTTATCACTGCAGCTTTAAGTGCCCAACACAAGTTCACCAAGAAGTGATTAAGCAGATGTCTAAATGCCTTAGAGTGGATACGTGGCCCTTCTAGTGACCTCTAGGGGCCATGTTGGCCTGATGAAGTTTGAGGATACTAATGTTTAAGAGTTTACGTTATTATCATGCGTATTTACATCTCCATAAACAGGGTCATCAATGCAGAGGAGTTCAGACGGGGCTTTATTAACTATGCATTATTCTTCAGTAAACTAATTTATTCTCACCAACACCTCTGGAGCATATATACTGTAAATACTGTGTATATATACTGTATACTTCAATTAATAGCTTTGCTTAAATCACTGATCTCATCAGGTCTTTATTTGGGATAGGCCTTTAATTCTTTTCACACAAAACTGCTGCACAGCAAAGATCAAGAAATACAATCAAGTTATTTATTTAAACCAGTATTTTATCAGGTTTTTATCTTATTTTATTCTTTTTATTACCAACTCTTCTAACTTATTAGGTATTTATATATGTGTCACTTTGTTTTGTATGTTTTGTTACACGCTGTCTGTCATTATATGTTCAGTGGAGGACAGCTCATTCCCTGCAAACCAAATTTACCTAAAGTTACAATAAATGATCTGAAGTCTGAAGTCTGAAGTCAGTGTAACTTTTTACTGGAGCCTGTCCCATAGGTGGGGTACATCCTGAACAGGGTGACTATTACAGGGCCGACATTTTTGACCATCTTAGAATTGTCTATTCTTTGCATCAGAGCGACTGTAACAATCACAATTTCCCATCAGGAATCAATAAAGTATTTCTGATGTGTGTTGATCTTTACAGACAGTGACACTATTCTCCCGACCTTTCATGGCGATAGACTCTTTATCTAATGGACACACAGACACAGCACAATATTAACTAAGGCACTGTTAGAGCCTTCTGAGTTGATCCAACTCAACAAAACACCAAAAGGGTACAAACCTGATGACCCCATTGACTTGCCTGCACTCACACTCAGAGTTGAAACCTTTTATTTCTATAGACATGACTCATGTGTGAAAATGTGTCTGGTACAGGATGGGTTGGAAATGAGTGGGTAGTTGTAAGTGCAACTCGATAAACAGGGATAGAGGCTTGACAGCTTCAGGGGGTTCCTGGTGTTCAGATGAAAAATTACTATCAGACCGATGGGGCATCTGATTTTTCCAAATAATAAATACCCTAGGTTCTCCAGCAGACTTGTAGAAGGTTTCACAGAGACTGTAATGTGCATTCCACAAACCCACATTCATACCTGACAGTCACTCATCCGTTGCACTCAGTGTGAAGAACAGAAGACACTTGACACTGAGCGTCACTGTCTCTCCACTTCACTTCAGTCCAGTTTATTTGGTTTAAGAGATGAGATTCAGCTTTGAGTTACTGTTTACAGAGAACACATTTGATGATGTGGAAGTACAGAATATATATATGTACTGTAGACTATATTTCTGCATGTTAGAAGAACAAGATATACTTTATTAATCTCTGAGGGGAAATACAATTTTTTCAGTCTGTTGTCATACACACGGGCTTGAAATACACACACGTGCACAAACAGGACCTATAGCCTACATGTATTAAATGGCAAGATGTCAGTGTGAGGGGGTGTTCTGTGCCTTGCTCAGGAGCACCTCAGCAGTGCCCAGGAGGTGAACAGGTGCCTCTCCAGCTACCAGTCCACACTCCATGCTTGATCAGGACAGGGACTTGAGATGGCTACCCTCTGGTTCACAACCCAAGTCCCTATGGGCTGAGCTACTGCCGCCCCATGAAAATACATGTAAGGCAAAATACATTTATGTACCTTGAGTGATCTTAAAGATGACTGCCGTCTGATTCAGACAACAGCACAGCCCCAGATTGTGCTCAGCTGATGGTATTCAGCTTTTTAAAGCATCACTGGCTACTTATTTTTCAGAAGAATGGATGCTTCGTTCTGTGATTTGAATGTAATGGTTATATATGAGAGGCACAGCACCACACACTTGCTTTACAGTGTGCGATGTAGCCTGCAGGTTTCTTGTTTTATCACACAACAGGGTTTTAGGTGTGGTGATTTGGCTGCATGTAGACAGTCTACAGAGAACGGATTCTGAGTGTTCACAGAACAAAAGCAGGACATGTAATCAAACACTCCGTCTCACTTCTGTTCAAGAGCCGTAACACTTTCCTGGTACTGGCTGATGGGATCTGGGGTGGTACTGGAATCGCATTACTTACATAACCTACTGTACCGAATAAATTACATTCAGTGGAATCACTTGGTCATATCATGTTGCCCTGAACTCCTGCCTCCTGCTCGCTCACACACTGCAGCGTCCTACACGCAGCCCAAATCTGCTTTGGCAATGAGCAGAACTCGCAGAGCAGAAGTTCTTTTTTTAAAAATTGATTTTACAGTTTATTAAAGAGAATTACATAAGCCCATTCAGAGAGAGAGAGAGAGAGAGAGAGAGAGGGGTATGTTTCATCTTTCTCAAGCTGCAGTGTGATGTTTCTGAGAAAGCTGGATGGGGATTTAATGGCACAGTTTCCGCCTCAGGCCGCAGGAGTGAGGCTACATTATATTTATGTAGCAGGGGTGGATGTAAGGTTCAGGACATTTCTCCTCAAGAGGTGAGAGCATCAAAGGACGAGGCACCGTGAGGTCCACGAAATAACCCAAGGGATACGCTGTATTATGTTCCATTGCGTAACACACTTTGCTTGTGTAAGGGCTGCCAGCACAGAGACAGAATAACTGACCGCCTCTTTGTTAGAATGAACAGTATAATTTGCGGTATAATTTGTAGGCCCAGGTGAGTGCAGCCTTTGACACAAGGAAGTCTATGCATCATCCAGTGAATCACAGCCTCTTGTTAATTTACAGGCTGCTTTAATTTTCTTCTTTCATCTCTTTCCACTAACAAACACATGCACACAGACCTTGAACTCACAGGGCAATGATCTCTTTACATGGGAGGAACACAAACACATTTTTCCTTCAACTTACTATGGAGTCATCATGGGGGGGATGGGGAAAATGGAAAGTGAGGCACATTACATTACAGGCTAAAATACGCTGAAATGAAAGGATAGGCAGGTTAAGGAGACTCATTCCTGCCTGTCGAATGCTTCTTTGGTGTTTCATCTTACTCTAAGAAACTCCTGTTATACAGTATGTATCTTGCACTGATAATCAGTAAAATTAAACACCAAAAGACTCAAGCGGACTGCTTATCTTATTACAGGAAAGTACCTGAAAGGAACAGAGACAAGGGAGAGCACCAGCATGATTCTCAGGGTGCTATCAGAACTTAAACGGGGCTCGTCTCACTGGAAAATATATTTTTGGTGTTGCCTTCACAGGAAGATTAGAGTGCAAGGTCAGCAACTGAATGACAGGAGCTGGAAAACATGTGGTGTCCTGCTGAAGGACCCCTCAACAGGTTGGATGGCAGTCAGCACAACGTGGCTTCAAACCTGTGTCCTCTAGTGGAAGGACAGTCTAAGTGCAACACCTTAAAAGTCGCACTTATTGGTTGTATTTGAAAATCATGAAAACTGAGCTCCATATTAAGACAATAGCTTCTGAAGGGCTATAAGCTCCAATGCTTAATATACAGTATAGGAGATGATGATGTAGATCGAGTAAACAGCACAGCAAACTGTAAACAAGTTCACATGATGAGCCAGAGTGCTGCAAACATTCTGCCAGAGTCAAAAGAACTCTCAGGATTAAAAGAAAATATCCCGCTCCTGTTATATTAAAAGAAATATCAATGGCAACTGTTGTTGTTGACACAGGCAACTCAAATGTGCTCCGTCTCTTGTGCCTGCAAATCAACTTCAGTCTAACAAAATCCCCAACAAACTGCATCTTCCACTCAGAGTTTTGTCCAATTTCAAGTTTTATAATCAGGGATATGTTCAAGATTCAGGACATGGAGGCACTGCCAAACAATTCTGCAGTGCCTCACCATGATGTCAGTAGTTTAATGCAGAAAATAAGGTGTTTTTTCCACTTAGAGTGGACTGTTAAACACCCCAGTGGACATACCTTTTCTGGGATGTCTAGATCAATTATTACTGTCATCTGACTCCATACCAATGCAGAGTTATATTCAGAGTTATTTGATGGGATGGTGGGCTACATCATCTTCAGTGGACTGCAGCAGAGCCCCTTTTTTTGTATGTATGGCCGACTGTGAGGCAAAGAGAAGCACAAGGCACATTTCAGACAAATCACTATATTGTTGTATGTACAATTAGATGTTGTATCACTTAAACATGTCAAAAAATCATATGAAAGATTTATAGTTTTTACTCAGGAAAACTCTTAAGGAAATCATCTCTTTACTCTTGTCAAAAACATCCATCCGCTAAATATTATTTAACTGG